GAGAACCTTGTGAATTTGAACAAAATATTTCATCTCTTAGGTTTATTTTCTCATCTGTGAAAGAAGAAATCTACCCTCATTGAATGAAGAGGACTCTGTTTTTGTCACATATTAAAAATGAAAGGCATACATTTTTGGGCTAACTCTCCTGCAATACACTGCTCTAGATGTTAGGGAGCTGCTGATATTCTTTTTTTTTTTTGGTTTTTCTCTGGTACCGGGAACTGAACTCACGACCTTGCGCTTGCCAGGCAGGCGCTTTGCTGCTGAGCTAAATCCCCAGCCCCAGCTGCTGATATTCTTGAATAGCGATGACAGGCTGTAGGTGGTTAGGCAAGACAAGTTGGGCCCCTTTGTGCAAGGTGCTATCAAGGTAAGTTTAAGGAGAGGTGGCACATGCAATGGGGGATGGAGAGAGACCAGACTGAGGACCTATTCCAGGGTGAAAAACCCAGAGAGCCACGTTCATTTATGGTAAGTTATCACTTCCAGGGAAGCGAGTGTTTATGCCACGCCTTCCTGGCACTGGATTAAAAGTGGCTACCAATTATATTTGCCTCCTTATTCTTGAGCTGTAAGCAGTTTCTGTGAGATTAGATGTTTGATAATATCTAAAAGAAATGTGCTAGTTAAGAAAAGTGATTATTTCCTAAAAGCTGTCTCTCATAGGAGAAAACTAAATACCCCAGAACAGGATAACAGATAAAAGATTCATTTTAGAAGGCTAGAATATAAGTCCTCTAAGCAGAAAGTTAGACTTCTCAGCACCCAGTCTTCTGAGCTTTTTTACGTGTCTTCGTAGGATTAATAATAAAAACAAGGTTTGCAAGTGGAGCAGATGGGCTGAGCCAGGAAAGCTTAGCCAAGGTGCGCACCGCAGAAATCATCAGCCAGAGCTGTGTTTGTTCCTTTCTGTTCTAACTCAGCATGGATATTGTGCTTTAGGAAGATACTTCTTTTTCTCCTGAGAAACATTTTCAGTAAGATTCTCCACTTCTAGGCATTTCTAGTATCAGATAAGGGGGTGCTGGGCAGAGCAGCAAAGGCGTATCAGGTAGGATCAGCAGCTTGGAGATGTGGATGACACCAACTGAAGATTTTTGCCACCCCAGTGCTTGCCAGAAAGAATTCTAAGGTTCTAAACTAGAGGGTACGAAGAGATGGGTAGGAAGTTTGGTCCAAATTAAAGACACTTCAAATGCACTTCTTATAAGTTCAGTGCATTAATCCATCAGTCCTCATAAAGAACTGTTAACTCACAAACAAGTTCTCGTTATTAAGCACTTGGCTAATACTATTCCTTGAAAGTAAGCAGCCAGGCATGGTCATGCATGCTTGTGATCCTGTAACTTGCAAGGCTGAGGCAGGAGGATCGCTGTGAGTTCAAGGCCAACCTAGGCTACATCGTGAGATCAACACTGGTGTGAACTACATAGCAAGACCCTGTCTCAAAATAACTGAAAATAATCAAGCTAGAACGCTTTAAGTAGATTCTAGATGATCACCTTTTAAATTACTGTTTTGTGGAATCAGCATGAAGTTTAGCATCAAAGAGCCCTCAAGGGCTGGGGATGTAACTTGGTGGTAGAGTGCTTTCCCACCATGTGTAAGGCTCTGTGTTCAATCTCATTACAAAAGCGGGAAAAAGCCCTCAAAGATTCAAATTTTTACTCTAATATTTATTCCATCATCCTGAGCAAATTTCTTTCTTTTTTTTTTTTTTTTGGTTTTTCTCTGGTACCGGGAACCGAACTCACAACCTTGCGCTTGCCAGGCAGGCGCTTTTGCCGCTGAGCTAAATCCCCAGCTCCTCTGAGCAAATTTCTTAACCCCTTCAGTCTTGTTTCCTTATCTGTAAAATAGGGTGGCTACCTCACTAAATGCTGTTGGACTGTTTGTATGTCTACATGGATGTGTGCATACATACAAGGCAGCGCACATGGGGTAGCCACGAGGTCAGGACCCCCAAGGAAGAGGTAGTACCATGGAAGCCATACTGATGGCTGGGAGGGTAAAGCTGGGGTGCTGAGGTAGAAAATAGTGTGGTCAGACAAAAAGGACAGAGAATAGGGTGTGGAGTAATTGCTAATGAATACAAGGTTTCTGATGAAAGATGAAAATGTTCTGAAGCTACACAGTAGTGCTAGCTGTGCAGCAAATACACTAAAGCCCATTAGTGTCTTGAAAAGGGTGAATTTTATGGTACATAAATCGTGTCTTGATATCTTGAAATTTACCGATTTTAGAGTACTGGGATCAAACCCTAGGTCCTGGGCATCACGCTAGGCAAGTACCAGTGAACTTCACCCCCAAGCCCTGTACTGTTATTTTAGAAAGGGATCACAGAAAACACGAGTAAGAACATTTTGACAGGTGATGAGAAGTGAGTTATTTCCATTCCTGGTGAAACGGAGAATCAAGTTCTGATTTATAGGACAAAAGTCATTATTTAAGGAGGCGAAGAACTTGTTTTTTGGTCCAACTGTACAATTTTAGATTCTATCACAGCTCTTCTGCAAGTTGACAGAACGCTCTTCCTTCACTCCTTGGGCTAAAACATCGATGGATTAGCCCGGAAGATGGTTTCTGAACACTGGGTAACAATTTTTCAGTACCTGTACTGTTTCCTCCTGGATGTTAAGACACCATGAGAAACACCAACACCAAATACTTCGTACTCACTGCTTCCAAACTGCCTCAGTGGTTAACGTTCCAACATAAATAATCACAGGCACAACCATTTAGATATTTAATTTATTAAATTACATAACAAAGCTTTTTCTATACAGTCAGAAAATGCACATTTAGATGAGAACAAAAATTAAATACAAATACAACAAAATTGGTTCCAAGAAGCTATTTTAAAAGCAAAAAATTAGAAAGTGCATTTGGAAAAGAATAGATTTTTAAAAATCCATATTGGCATTTTTCATGAGGAAACATCTTCCACTAGTGTAAAATGTGACTGGAATTAATTTCCCCTTCTCTTAAGAGTTAATAGGGTGGGAACTGATGCAAGTAATTTAGGTTAGGTACAAGAAAATGAGAAAGATCCCCTAGGACACAGCTCACCTTTGTCTCAGCTTCTTAGCCAATAAAAATCCTTAACATTCACTTGTTCCTTCCTCATTTCCCCCCCTATGAAACGTAAGGGTATGTAGGAATAAACAAGGATAAGGGAATAAGTAAGATTAGTTTATTTTGTTTTTGGGTTTTTTTTTTTGGTTTTGGTTTTTCTCCGGTACCGGGAACCGAACTCACGACCTTGCGCTTGCCAGGCAGGCGCTTTTGCCGCTGAGCTAAATCCCCAGCCCCAAGATTAGTTTATTAAGACCCTAATGAAAAGTTCTGCATCTTTTTGGAGGCCAGGGTAAAGAACCCCAACCTAAAAGGAGAATGGCACACAATCACTGTAATTTAAGTAGAATCCATTTGTTATCATTGCCACAAAACTCAGAGTAATATTGAACATGGCCATGTATCCCCAACAACTTGATATGACAAGTGAGAAAGCTCAAATCAATTTCCAAAACCATGTCTGGCTAATGACAAAACATGAGGTACTGGAAATGCAAAGGGCTAGACCAGTTCCTACAGGTCATTTTTATCAGGTTAAAATCAAACAGTGAAAGAGAAAATAGTGAGAATGCAAGTAAATTCCACAGAGACCCCAAGTCACTGCATCAAAAGGCCCAATAAGTACCCTTTTCTAGTCAGAGGTATTCATATCCAATACGAAAGAGCTACAGGAAATGCTATTTGGGTCCACAAAAAGTGCCCTCAAGATGTCTCCTTTCATCGTTTGTCTCCTTTCTTAAGAGATTTATTCCCACACCTGATTTCAATATCAGGCAGTGTGAAAAAAGACATTCTCTTTGCATAAAGATAAATCTTACACAAAGGACAGAGGAACAGTAGGGAAAGTCCTTTTTAACATCAGAAAAATAAAAGGTGAGCAATGCAGGTTACAGGGAGTCCTTCAACATCATTAACATACTGTGATAATAAAGAATATGCAGATTGCCAGGAAGGGTAACTTACGGCTCTTGGCTATCTGGGCTTGAACTTGAGTAATAAACATTTCTGCTAAGGTCGTCAGTACACATTAGAACAAAACCTTAGAAATATGCCATTTGCAGCCAGGCATGGTAGTACAAGTAGGTAGTCCCAGCTACACGAAAGGCTGAGGCAGAAAGATATTTGAGGCCAGCCTGGGCAACTTAATGAGATGCCATCTGACAACAACAACGACATGGAAAACGTTTGGATGCTGTATTCACATTTTTTAGTGAAATGGACAGTTCTGAGTAGTTACTAAAGAGATTCAAAAAGGAAAGACTTATTATGTAAGACAACGGCTAAAGGAATATAACTTCTCTGAGAAGCAGCATTTCATGGGGACCAGAAACAGAAAATTCCTCTGACCTCTGGGCTCAGCCCTGAAGTTCCTGGCTCTGATTGGCTTTGACAAGTAACTAACTGTTGGCTTGTGAACCTAGCAACTGGTCTGTAAGAAAGACAGCAAAAAGGAGAAAAACATCAATATGATTTTTTAAGAAGTTAAATGGCATAAAACTGAAACTCAGATCAATAATCACAGGATCCAAAGAAGCCCCTTCCATCAAAGGGCAGATCTCCATCTTCTTTCTGCAAGGGGAAGGGAGGAGCACTCTCTTAATCATCTCCTACTCTCTAGCTGTGGGGTGGGGCGGGCTGGGGATGATACCTCACTATGGGTAAGAGTACTGGGAGGTGAGTCAGACCTATCTGACACCGACATTTACACCAAGCCTTTTCAACTTCCTTGGAAGAACTGGTTTCTTTATTTTCATCAAGAAAATAACCAACATAATTCTATTATTTCACATGAGCACAGACCTCCTGGAGAGGGTTATCAGCCACCGACACTGTTTCTTTGCTTGGCTATAGCAAGCTAGATAACTCTCACAATATCAGCTTTAATGAACAAACCAAGTAATCAGACCAGTAAAAAAGACTGGTAGAATAATTAAATAAATAACTTTATTTATGATAAATTCAGATTTTATAAATGCCAACTATATAGCAACCAAAGTCCCATAAATTCTAGCTGAGGCACAACCACCAATCAAAGGCCTTTGAAAAATCAAAGATAATAGTATCAGGGGAGAGAAGTTTTGTTCTCTCAAAAGACAATTCAATAAATGAACTTACTTCTCTGATCCTTTAAGGTTCACACAGGGAAAACTTTCTTTTAAGGGGATTTCTAAGTAATAAAATGATCATCAACCCATATTTAGAAGAATAAACCCCACAGTTAAGAAAAATATATCAAATGCCCTTCACACCCAGAATGTAATAAAACTTTGACACTAGGATGACAAACTGCTCCATCCCAGACTAGTGTTAGTCTACCCATCATGTAGCATACCGAGTCCAAGTTCAACAGCATTTCCACACCATGCTGTAGTGGAGAACTTATCCTTTTATTCCCTGTGGCAGTCTGAGGCCAGTCCTATAAATACCTTCATCAACTCCAGTGAACAGCTGCAGCTTTTTCTTTTGGTGAGGAGTGTAGATGTCTTTAAAATACCTGGTGTTTCAGTAATACAAGTAATAAATTTTCAATAACAGAAATGGTTAAACTTGAAAAAACTATGGGGGTAGTTTAAAATTTTGTTACCATCCAGGGATGGTAATAGGAGACAGGTGCACACAGACATAGATTGTCATAGGCACCTTCATCCATTCTCTGGATGTTTGGAAAAGTTTAACAGATTTGGAATGCACAGATTTCCACAGAACACCGATCATCTACAGTGGTTCTCAAACTTTTGCTCCAAAGCTGCGGAGCATTTACAAATGGAATTATCTGGATAGTGACCCCTCCCTGTCTTTTTACATGTGACTTGACTAGAATCTCACTGAAAACTGAGCAGTCACGACCCTTAGTAACCAGTGCTAATCCTGACATGATGAAGAACCACTGGGTGCACGGATGGACACCGGCTGTAAATTTTTTTTGCGTGTGTCATGGTAGAACTTAGATTTCATCATCCTATCACAGCAAATATTAATCCAACGGAATAAAAAACATCCAATGACTGGTTCCTTAAAAAAAAAAAAGGCCTGTCCTTGATATTTCCCCAGCAATACAGTTAACCCCAATGCACCTGTCATTTTAAGAAAGAAAAGAAAAAGACAAAAAATCTTTTTTGCAGTGTTCTCTTAAACTTAACCATGCTGAATTGAAGATGGCCTAAAGAATTTGTGAAAAATGGAATTTTCCTTGACTACCAAAAGATTTGGGAACACCAAGTAGAAATCTATCAAGCTTATCTAGAAAGGACTTGTGATTTTTCATCATGGGGGTTAAATAAAAGGACAAGAATTATTTTTATTCACAACCCAATCTGGTGGCTGAAAGTAAAAGAGTCTTTGGATAGTACAGAGAAACCTGGTATTCTGAAGAGTCCAGCTCTCTAAACCTGGCTTGTCATCAGGCTTCAACACTGTCACTGAAGCACAGAAACTCTTGTTTTTGATTGCTTTACTTACCTCCTAAGGAGACAAAAGCAATTGAAGCCTTTTTTTGTTTTTAAACTAAAAAGAGGAAAATGTGTGTTACAAAAGATAGCACAAAAAAACTGGCTTCAGCTCAATCCATGTTACTGAGCCATCACTATCAGTTTTGAATTCACCTGGCTGGTCAGGCAAATTTTCAGGACAGTCAAATTCTCCTTCCTTCTTTTCCTTACACCAGATCAGGGTGTGAAAGTGAAGGTTGTCAAGAGTTCCTGGAGAGGCCCCGTCAATGGAAAGCATACAGCAGCAACAGGATGGTACAGATACCAATCACACCACCTAGGATGAGTGAGTCTCGCCGTTTCCTAAGGTTGATCCTCTGGATTAGGCTGTTCACAGCAGGAAAACGATCTTTGGGAAATCTTTATTAAGGTCATTTTGAAAGAAATCTCTTCAGTGAGAGGTCACAGGAATTATAAAAATAGCAACGGGTATAGTCCAGAAACAGTAAGTGATGGAAAGAAATAAGAAGAAAATGACACTGAGGAAGTCTCTGGAAAACACCCATTCCAAAACTGGGACAAACTCGTCTCCCAGTCTTGTGTGTAGTACACAAAGAATAGTGATGAGATTGAAAAAAAATTAATAGAGGAGAAAATACTGATGACAGCATCGATGTGTTGAGAGATTTCTGTCAAGTTTCAGATCAGGGTGGGATGTCAGGATTAGCACTGGTTACTAAGGCGGGGGTGACTGCTCAGTTTTCAGTGAGATTCTAGTCAACAAGTCACACGGTCAGGAAGGCACAGGACAGCCAGCTCCTATCTTGCTCCCCGACCCTTTTTTCCCCTTTCCTTCTTCTCCTACTCTCCTCCCCTAGCTCCCCCTGTTTTTTCCCTACCTTCTCTCAGAAGACAAGGGATTTCTGCTCAAGGGTTTTGAGGAAAACCTGATCCTCTCCCCATAGAGAAAAACTCTTGGATTGAGTTAATTTGGAACCAACTCTAAGGTCTACATACTCAGGTACTGGTGAATTATTTAAAATTTTACATTTACTTTGCAGAAGGAGGTAGGATACAGTGGGAAAGTAGGTTAAAATTTTCTAGCTATCCTACTAGGGAGACAGGGGAAAAAAAGCAAAGATAGGAAAAATTCCATTTTAGGGGTATTATAACCATCATTAACTACATTTTGGCCAGGTATATAGCTCAGAGGCACAGCGCCTGCCTGGCAAGCGGAAGGTCCTCAGTCTTATTCCTGCACCAAAACCTAACTACATTTTACTTTGTATTTTAATGTATCTTTATACTCTTTCTTGTTTGTACATTATAGATTCCTTTGTATGTCTGGCAATCATTTTGGAAAATAGACCTGCAGGTATTTCATTTCTGAAATTAGACCTTGCAGGTTAACAAAAAAAAAAATCAAGTTCAGGAAAACCAATGGTAAAACCCCCAAGAATAATGCCTGAGAATCTTCATTGCATTTTTCTGTAACAAAATGCAGACCAGGGACATTTACTTATATGCTTATATTTTCTACATATTGTAGGATCATGTCTTCTAATCTTGAATATTCCCCATGCTTAGAATACATGCTGCACACATTAATGTAGTTTTTGAATTAATTAATTTAAAAAACAGGAGCAATAGCATAGTTCTAAAAATGTGGAACAAAAAGCAAGTACTGATGTAAGAGACAAAAATTCTTACAAGGTAAAAAACCACACATAGAGAAAATGCTTAATCTTTTCTTGCTTAGTAAGAGAAGAGTTTATATAAATTTTTGGTATCAGGAAATCCCACTTACGGTGGATATATTTTTGTCTGGTTCACTTTTATAGAACCACCGTTCTTTCTTTCTATAATAATCTAGTTCAGTAGTTGAAATAGGATGGGGTGGCTCTTCCTCTCCATTTCCAGTAGTATACACACAAAGGACTGCTCAATAAGAATGTTCTACCCCTTGACTAGTGACTGGGTGGGGCAACCACAATCCTCTTTCAGATTTTTGTGACAGCTGTAAGAAAGAACACCCCTTTCGTTTTGTTTTGTTTTTGGCACTGGGAATCAAACTCACGACCTTGCGCTTGCCAGGCGGGAACAGTGCTGCTGAGCTATATCCCTGGCCCAAACACCCTTTTCTCTTCCCACAGCGTTCTGAGCTAGTGTCATAGCCATCTCACTTATCCTGGGGAAAAACTCTGCTTGAGAGTAAAGTTAGCAGTGGAAAGTTGAGATAAGAGAAAAGGCAGAATCCTGACAATAAAATATGAGCCACTCAATCCAGTCATGCCTTAAGCCAAATTCCACTTTTACAGTTACATGAAAATTAATTCTCTCCTTGTCTCATTTAAGTCAATATAAATTAGGTTTCTGTTACTATCTCTCTATGGAGTCCTAACACTTATTTTGTTTGATTTTTTTGAACACTCATTCTTTTGGAATGACTATAAATTCCCAAGTGGCTAATCTGTACCAGGTACCATGCTGGGCTCTGGAATACTTCCTTGCCTTGACACCTTAGTAACCAGTCTTTTTTTTTTTTTTCCGGTACTGGGGATAGAACTCACGACCTTGTGCTTGCCAGGCAGGCACTTATGCCACTGAGCTATATCCCCAGCCTCCCAACACCCTGTCTTAAAACCTTAAAAAAATTTGGGGCTGGGCATTATAGAACATACATATAATCCCAGCACTCTGGAAGTCTCAGGCAGGAGGATCGAAGTTCAAACCCACTCTGGGCCAAGACGGGTGCGGGGAGCCTGGGAATGTAGCTCAGTGTTCTCCGTACTCAATCCCTAGAATACAAAGAGGAAGGGAGAGAAAGGGAGGTCGAGAAGGAGGGAGGAAAAAGGACAGCCAGCTAGAGTGAGAGACAGGGAAAGGGAGACACTGACAACAGATACGTCCAATTCACAGTAAAGGACATGCAGAACAGTGGGGACAAATTCTAATGCACAATTTGTCAATCAGTATTTTAAATGACCCAGCTAAATAATCTCCACTTCTATTTCAAAGTTTTGATGGTTTCACAAAATATAAACTCTTACACTGTATTCACTAAATAGCCTTTGTTCTTGCCTGATTTTACAGGAACTTAAAATCTGAACCTCTCTTGCTGTGGAACTGGCCCTCGCCACCTTTATTAGCCTAATTCTTCATTTGCAAAACAACAATAATTTCCACATCCTCTGTTTCATGGTAATGATAAAGTGGCATATTGCACAGAACAGTGCTCTGTAAGCTGCACAGCACTATACAATATGTGGCTTTGCACTAGGCAACAAGGCAAGAAAAAAAAAAAGATTGGAAAATACCAATAAACTCCAGGATATACTTTTCCTTAGGCAAAGTAGGAATCAAACTAAAAGTAGCCTTAAATTATCTAGGATCAGAAGATACTCAACTTTTGAAAATTATAGGTCCTTCTTCACAGTAGTTGCAGAGGAAAGCATTTTTCCCTAAAAGGCTCATCTTCCTAAAGAGTAAATAAATAATCAGAATGGCCCGCTTATTAGTTTTCTTGCTGGGCCTCTTAGAAGTACTACTAATCTTAATCTGAATTGGGAAACTGAAAGGCTAAAAGATCACAACAAACAGTGAATCTAACCAGGAATTCACCTTGAGCTTCTCATCTATGTATAAGGCTTCTTCCTTTGTGCCTCCTTCTAAGTATTTGCCGCTAACTTGTTCTCCAAACTGGAAAAATAGACAGAACATAATTTGTGATGTTCAGGTAGGACAATATACAGTGAAAATCTAATATGGATTTAGAACTATTAAGGGTAGAATAATTTTAAAACGCACCCTGAGATCTAGTGGTATTAAATCTCCAATGTGCAGTCTTCCAGAAACGGTACTAAACAGCATGAGCTTTCACAATGTAAGTATTCGTACGTAATTACTGAGGGGCTTCACTGCAATTGATGCTCAGTACCTGTACCCCAACAACATAATAGATGCACACATACCACACACCCCAACATAGATTTCAAATTTTTAAAAAGGATACTGGCCAAAGTGTTCATTTTGCTGTGAATTGACTTCAATATTCCTCTCTGTGAAGTCATATTTTCTTTTGTTGCCATAGCAATGCTTCAAGAGGGGAAAAAAGAGAAACAAATTGGTACCTGAGATTATTTTGCACACAGCATTCATCATACCTCTAAAACTACTGCATGCGACATCATTTTTAAAAGCACCAAAATCACTTTCCAAGACGTTTTTCTCATTGCTCTTTTTCTGAATGACCTCATTGCTACTCAACAATATCTGTTTGTATAAATCAGTAGGCCATTTTCTATGTTTTCTTTAAAATAACAAATAAGACATTATCATAGAAAGCACACACTACAAACTTAAGCCAAGGACACACCTACTAAAATATCCTTAATCAGAAAAAATTGTTGAGAGGGAAGCAGAGAATTATAACCATAAAAAGAACCCAAAGTATATATTTATACATAACCAGTTCTCAATTTATGAGCAAATTGTTTCAAAATTTTACTTAAGAATCAATAGCAGATAGCAAACTTGGGGGTACACAAGAGGTATTACACTGTTTTTCTTTTCTTCTCTTTTTTTTTTTTTTTTGAGACAGTTTCACTATGTAGTGCAGGCTGGCTTTGAACTCACTACGTAGCCCAGGCTGGGCTCAAACTCTCAGCCATCCTCTTGCCTCAGCCTCTGGAGTGCTGGGATTACAGGTATGCACCACCACATCCGGCTTACACTGGGTTTTAAGCCAGCTAACAAAGATCATAGATTTTTTAAACATGACTAAGACAGGGGAAAAAACACTCTGTAGAATACAATCTTTTCATTTGACTACTTCAATGTTCTGTTAAAAGAATGTGACTACTACTTATTTGGTATTGCTGTATCACCTTAGACATTAGAATCCTAGTGGGTATCTATTTTGATATGTAACACATAGGGGAATGCTTTTAGATACTGACATTATGAAAAGCTATAGACAATGGAATCCTGAGGAATTCAGAATTCAGAGGAATTCTGAAAATATCTGAAACATTAGGAAAAAAAAAGCAAGCAATACAGATTGAGATTCTGGGAAGATGGTGGTTATAGCATAAATTCTTGATCTCATCTCTGACCCATTTTTCTTCATGAAGTAACACTAGAACAAAAGCAGACATGCCGGGGAAAGTCCATCTGAAACCCCAAGTTCCCTTGAGATCTCCTGGGAAGAGAGCCAGGTGGACGGCTACACTTTCTCAAGTGAGGAGAGAACCAAGGGAAGGATGGCAGGGGAAGTCAGATTTTTCTTCAAGTCTTGAGCAAAGACCCAGGTTTCCTCACTTCTTAAGGAACTCAGACAGTGAAAGACTATGAATCTACATGTATAGGACCTGTAGTCCCTACAGCTAGGAAAGGTCTGCTACTCATAGATTTATAGGCAAAGAACTTACAGTCTAGCAGCTGGTGGGATGCTCAGCCCCTACGGAGAACTGCTGGGTTATTCACTGCTTGAATCTCTACTAGTGTGGCCACTCTGAGAGCCATGAACACATTTTTGGATAGGCAAAACCTCAAAGAATAAACCACCACCTATCTAATAGAAGTGAGATGCTAGGGGAGTACTCTAAATAAATGGTAAATGGGTTAAAACTTTAATTTCTCCCCTCACCCCCTTTTTTTTGAGACAAGGTCTTGCTATGTAGTTCAGACTGGCCTTTGATTTACTATGTAGCCCAGGTTGGCCTCAAACTCATAGCAATTCTCCTGCCTCAGCTTCTTGAGTGTTGGGATTACAGGTGTGCACCACCACACCTGGCTTAAAACTTTAATTTCAAGATCTGAGCAGGCAAGAAGAAATAATAGTGTGTAAGGCAATACAAGGATATTGAAACATTCTAGAATAGTAGAACAATAAGAACAATAGATACACCAAAAAGCACCCCACACGTCTGTGACTTCAGGGAAAAAACTGGATCTGTGAAAGATATCTCCAAGAAGGGCCAGAGGGACGTCTGTGGGCTTCTGGTCAAGGGGATGATTAGGTCAAAGAAGTCTGCGACAGAATTCTATGCATCTGAACCTCTCTTGCTGTGGAACTGGCCCTCGCCACCTTTATTAGCCTAATTCTTCATCTGCAAAACAACAATAATTTCCACATCCTCTGTTTCATGGTAATGATAAAGTGGCATATTGCACAGAACAGTGCTCTGTAAGCTGCACAGCACTATACAATATGTGGCTTTGCACTAGGCAACTTAAACTCTACTAATGGGGATAAAGAATCTGCTGGAGGTCTTGGTGGCCAGTTCTTTGCAAAAGAGCAGAGAATTGATGAAGAGCCACGCCAAGTCTCAAAGACCCCAGAAATCCAGGCTGCCACACGGGAACTAACCAAAACAATGATGAAGGCTGAGGTCAGAGAAGAGATACCAAAGGACGCTTCTAAAAGCATAAATGATCAGCAAGAAATGAAATAAGCAGCAGAAATGGAAACCGACAAAATTATACTTGAAATTACAGCAGGGGCCTTGGGCAAAGCAACTCTATTTAAAAATAGGTGCTATGGTCTTGTATAAGACAATGTAATTCAAACTTAGGTTGGATAACCTGAGCCAATCTTTGAACCATATATATATGCCTCTGTTTTTTAAACCATCTCCTGTGTACTTCAGCTCACAAGTGGGTGGAAATTAAAAAATAATTTCCGCAAAGCACTTTGTACTCCTTGGAGAATGGACATTATCATCATACATTAAGTTATTACCTTGTTGAATATGCATGATTTCCAGTACCACATAAAGTATATCTAGACATATTTCCCCATCTCATCCCATCATTTGAAGTTGAGCTAAGTGAAATATAGGCTATTACTTCAAGGGTCAGATACTTAGAGGCAAAATACAAGCTCCAAATAATATATAATGCTTTTAAAACGATAAATCATTGATGTGCTTACCGGAACTTAAACTTTCTTACTTGTTCTGTGAGCTAGACTCACACTTATTTTTTCAACAACAAACAATACTAGTTATACAGCTAAAGCTAAAAGATTTATAAATATTAAGTTAGCTTTTTAAAACTCAGGTTTCATTTTTTTAAATTAATTTTATTGGTACACTTTAATATACATAATAATGACATTTGTCATATAGAATTTGTACCTGTACATGATACATATCTTGATTCTTCTTTATTCCCCCAACCTCCTCCCCTCCATTCAGCTCCTCTTCCCTTCCTTATTTACAAAAGCTTTGTTTCTATTTCCTTCCTTCTATTCTTTATTTTTCCCCTTCCCCCTCAAGAGTTAGTTGTTTTAAATAAATTGATGTCAAACCCTATATTCAGTTGTATAATATTTAAAGTCTCCAAAAAGAATTTGACATATGAAATATGCAGAAATAATTACTAAATTTAAACTCTACCTTCTCTGTAATTATAACTAGACTTATATTCAAGAAAATTTCACTTGTGATACTTATCATATTTTGAAACAAAAGATAATTTAAAATGAAAAGACCAACTATGATGTTGTCCAACCAGAAAAGTAACAGTAGCAGTGATTCAATGGTTCTCAAGTGTTCCTGTCCTTTAAGGTACCCCAAATTTTTATACCTGTTTTAGAGGCAGGCTTGCCCTAGAAAATCAGACAAGGGTTATCAACTCATGTTTAAGACTGTTTCCAATTTAAAAAATGACAATAAAAAGATTGAGTATAAATTAAATAAATAGTATGAATTAACTGGAAAAATTAACCTACATAAAACAGCCTAGGGGCAGGGATATAGCTCAGCGGCACAAGTGCCTGCCTGGCAAGCGCGAAGGTCCTGAGTTCGATTCCTGGTACAAAAAAAACCAAAAAACAAAAAACAGCCCAATTCCAATAACTATAGAAATAAATGTTTGGGGCTTTAAATGTCTCCTATAAGGAAAAGTCACAGTAAAAATATATTACCATCTAATGAAATTCTCATCTTTAAAGAGAATGACTTGATTTTCACTCTAATGCAAAGGATTAAATCGATCTGTTCATTAATGTACATGCAAACAAATACCAACAAAGTAAAACAAAAAAAATCACTCCTACCTTATTGTTTCTTCTATCAGACGATCTGAGCTGCAAATAAAAAGAAAATTCAAGTCCTGAACACAAACTTGTATTTAATTTTTCTATATTTATAGATAAGATTTTCAGCCACTTATATACACAAAATACCTAATTTCTGAAGGCATTTGGAGAAAACCCTGGACTCTGAAATTAATTTATCCATAAACTATATAATTTACATTTTACTTACTCACACAGTAATATGAAAACAGGGAGTAACTAGCCCAAGAGTCACATGGTTATTAGGCAGAGCCAGGATTCAAATTCAAACAGCTTGACAGGAAATACTTCAAAGAATCAATAACTGGGATCTCATCTTACTGAAAAGTTTTTGCACATCAAAACAAACCACCAACAGAGTAAAAAGAAAACCCACAAATTGGGAAAAAATTTTAGCCAACTGCCCCTCAGACAAAGGACTTAGCTATCTAGAACATATAAAGAATTAAAAAAAAAAAATCAGACCCCCTAAATTCAAAGACCCAATCCAAAAATGGGCATCTGAGATGAATACACACTTCTCAGATGAAGAAATACTAATGGCAAATAAATATATGAAAAAATATTCAACATCATTAGTCATTCAAGAAATGCAAATTAAAACAACAATGAGATTCCCTTCCACCCCAGAAAGTATGGCTATTATCAAGAAGTCAACCAATGACAAATGCTGGAGAGGCTGTGGGGAAAAAGGAACCCTTCTCCACTGCTGCTGGTGGGAGTGTAGATTGGTGATACCACGGTGGAAATCAGTTTGGAGATTCCTCACATAACTAGGATTAGAAGTCCCACTTAACCCAGCTATTCCCCTTTTGGGTATTTTCCCAAAAGAATTAAAAACATTATACCACAATGATATATGTGCACCCATGTTTATAGCAGCATAATTTGTCATGGCTACATCTTGGAAACAATCTAAATGTCCATCAACTGAGGAATGGATAAAAAAGATGTGATATTTTTATACAATAGAGTATTACTCAGCTATAAAAAAAAGATAAACTCGGGACTTTTATAGGTATATAGATGCAACTAGAGACCACACTCACAAGTGAAATAAATTGGACCCACATGTGTAAATATCATATTGTCTCCCTAGTGTAAGAACCTGAAAGAGTAAATAAAACCCAAAACGTACAATAGATAATATGAAAGGGAAAGAAACTGCTCAAAGGAAGGAACAACTGGGATGAGGGAAAGAAGAAAAAGAAAGAAGGAAGGCTATGTGTATATATGTATAACTAGGATAACTGTACTGCTGACGTCTGGTGGTTTATTGAAAGGAACAGTTAAATACTTAAAGTTTTGATCAATTTTGCATGCTTATATCTGGTAATCTCAGCAACTGATTTGAAGACAATATGCAATAGAACAACCACTGGTGAATTCCTACCATCTTGTCTAGTGAAACTCTGTACTGTCTCTAATGTTTTTTAATAATTATTTTTTTATTCTCTTTAATGGTTTGAACAATCTTCCATTCCTACATCTGGTAATCTGAGCAACGTAGTTGAAGATAACTATATGTAATATAACCACCACTGTTAATTCCTATCATTTGGTTTTGAAAACCTGTATCATTTTTAATGTTCTTGCTTTGTTTTTTTTTCCGGTACCAGGAATCAAACTCACGACATTGAGCTTGCCAGGCAGGCGCTGTGCCACTGAGCTAAATCCCCAGCCCCTTCTTGCTTTGTTGTTTGTGTCTGTGATGTCGGTATTTTGCTACTGTTCTTTTTTTACTACTCTCTTTAAAACAAAAACAAAAACAAAAAACCAAAAAAACCAAACAGCTTGACTGCAGTCTGAATTGGCTCTTATTGTTTCAATAAATGACAATTCTCATTTTTTCTCTTTCTCCATAATCGGTCCCTGTCTCCCCTTACCCTTTTCCAGACTGATTCAGCAAGAATCACTAACAGACCCTGCTAATAGGATGAAAAGATACATTACAAACTGGTAGAAAATATTTGCAAACCACATACTTAACAAAGGATTAGTAACCTAGAATACTATCTATGGTTTAAAAAAACCAACCAACAAACAAAAAAACCTGAGACAACAATCCAACTAGAAAATGAGCAAAAAATATGAAGACACAGCTCACTGAAGAGGACAGGCAGACAGCAAATAAGCACATGTAAAGATGTTCACTATCACTAGCCATTAGAGATGAAAATTAAAACCACAGTGACACATCACTACACACCTATTAGGATGGCTGAAATAAAACATTAAGTGTCAACACCAAATGGAGCTGGTGAGGAAATGGAGAAACTCCTATCTTACTAGTGAGAACAGAAAATGGTACACAGCCACTTTGGAAAACACTTTTACCGTTTAGAAACTAGTTCAAAAAAACAAACCCTAAACTTGCAACCACCATATGACTCAACCATCACATTCCTGAGCATTTACTTGAGAAATAAAAACTTCTGTTCACAAAAACCCTGTACACAGATATTTATAGCAACTTTATAAATGAGAAAACACCCTCAAAAAACAAAGCCAGCAAGTAATCTAGATATCCTTCAATGAGTAATTAAGTAAACTATAGTATATCCACGCCATGAAATACTGTTTACTAATAAAAAGAATGAGTCATTAATAAATGCAACACCTGAAAGGGTCTCCAGAGAATTATACTGAGCGGTGAAAAAGGTCAATTTTACTACTCCAAAGGCTTAAGCAGGAGTTTGAGGTTAGCTAGCACAACAAAGTGAGACCCTATTTCAAACAAATTGACCAAGCCACCCACCAACCAAAAGCCAATCTTAAAACGTTATATATTGTGTGATTCCACACACATATAATGGTCTTGAAATGATAAAATACAGACATGAGACTAGATTGGTGGTTATCAGGTGCTTACGTGCAGGGTAAAAGGTGGAAGGGGAGTGGCTATATCTATAAAAGGGCAAAATGAGAGATCCTTGTGAAAACAGAAATGCTCTGTATCATGATTATATTAGTGTCAATGTCCTGGTTGTGATACTGTGTCATAACTGTGCAAGATGTTACCAAGGGGATAAACTGGTAAACAATACACAGAATTTCCCTGTGTTGTTTCTTAGAACTACACACACATCTATAATTAACTCAAAAGAAGTTCAAAAATGAAAGTGTTGAGCAATGTACCAACTGACAACCGTAACAAAAACCCAACACCAATTTAGACTGAACAGAAAGCTACACACCTTAAGTAGCATGCAATTATGAAGCAGCATTTAGAAAACCAAAGAACTACTCTGTGACAATACAATTCTATCTAACTCAATCAGTCTGCCTGGAAAGAAACAGAAAAACACAAAGCCAAAGCATTTTACACAAATCGCCAGAAAGCCAACAGATACACTTCATTATTACAATTACCTGCTTTCTACAAAACCTGAAGATACAACAGCATTTCATCTGCCTTTATTTTCAACTGTAAAATCAGAACTGAAGTTCAGTAAATAGTTAATAAACTAGCCTATCTACTATACGGTGGTTAGAAAATAAACTATTTTGTATTCAAAGACAATGTTCTTGAGCAGTGAAGTTGAAATGGTCATTAAGGAACAGCTTTCTATGTTGCTTCATAAAAAAGAAATTCTGTGATGTTCTTGTAGCACACAAATACAACCCTTGTTTTACATAATGAGTACTTTCCTTAAGAGGTACGTTTTCTGCAAGTGACATTTTCACCAATTTAAAGAATGTTTTCAACATAACAAAGCAATTCTATAGTTACATGAATTTAATACAAAAAGCCTCGGGGCTGGGGATTTAGCTCAGCGGCAAAAGCGCCTGCCTGGCAAGCGCAAGGTCGTGAGTTTGGTTCCCGGTACCGGAGAAAAACCAAAAAAAAAAAAAAAACAAAAAAAACAAAAAGCCTCATAAAGCAAATACTCTTCATTTTTGTATAAAATCAGATTTTCTTTTTTGTTTTTTTTTTCTTATACCGGGAATCGAACTCATGACCTTGCGCTTGCCAGGCAGGCACTGTGCCACTGAGCTAAATCCCCAGCCCCTAAAATCAGATTTTCATATAGTAGATTTCCTTAAAAGGACATGTTGAAATACACCACCTTATAAATTTTTTTTTTTTTTTTGGTTTTTCTCCGGTACCGGGAACCGAACTCATGACCTTACGCTTGCCAGGCAGGCGCTTTTGCCCCTGAGCTAAATCCCCAGCCCCTCACCACCTTATAAATTTGACATCGACTATCCTCAGATTATGGTATTTTACAGCAACATCTAACTGTAGTCAGAGAAAGCACAGTGTTTGCTGAATTCACCTGAAAAGGAAAATAACCCAAGGAAAACTAAAATTATAATCCCAAATATCCTACTCTACAGAGGAAGAGGATTTCCCTCCTTTTAAATTCACTTACATATTAGTCACCTTTCTTTTAGTCCTAAAACAGATTGTAAGGCACATTTCAAAATAAAACATACATGAATACTGAGTTATACTTGAGACTACATCTTCCATTTTATAGGAAGAAGATACGGTAAGTCACACATAAGTATTTCACAGACACACTCCACCAGTCATCCTTCACTTATACAGAGGCATAGAGAGAGGAAAGCCAATGATTTAAAATTCTTCCCGAACTACCTAAGTCTCTAAATTCTTATTCATTTAGCTAAAACCAAACAAAGTGAATAAAAACCATTCACAAAGAGTATCCCGAACACTGTGGATATAAATCAACACTGTAGGTCCATAAAGATGGCATAACATAATACAAATTGAATTTGAAACTGCTTTCTTTTGGGATATAACATATATAATCAAGTGGAATTATTTATATAACATATACAATCAAGTGGAATTATTTCTTACGCAAGTGCTTCATAACAGACAAAAAACATTCCAGAAGGTCATCTGGAGCCTGTAATTAAGCAACAAGTTTCTGTTTCTCTCAAGATTAATTTAAACTAGCCGAAACAATGAACTAAACGTCATCACAAATTATACTGAGGAATCACTGAAGCTATATTGAAATAATTCTTTTAAAAAT